ACAGACATGACTCCCAGGATTTGCAACTGAATCATAACTTCCTCGGTGCTAATTTTACCAGACTTTACCAGACTTCCCTTGTCATGTCTTTTCCCATCAGCACTGCTTAGTCTAGCAAGTTTACTTATTTCCTGTTATTGCCCTAAAGGCCATATCAAAGCTAGCTTGGCTTTTATTAAATGCAATCAAAATTAACATTAAAACATACAAAAGGCTACCAAAATTTTCCTCTCACAAGTGGGATAGTGGACTGATGAAAAGATAACAAAATCTGTTTTCAGTTTTGAACAGTGGGAAGCCATTCAATGGCACTTGGATCTATCTGTCCGTGTTGACAGTGAAGAAGTTGTCGTAGAGAAGGTTTAATTGCTCTCCTGGAGAACATAAGGGATAGAGATAAACAACAGGGGATAGGTGGTCCCTCAGTAACAGGACGAACATAAGGGATAGAGATAAACAACAGGGGATAGGTGGTCCCTCAGTAACAGGACGAACATAAGGGATAGAGATAAACAACAGGGGATAGGTGGTCCCTCAGTAACAGGACGAACATAAGGGATAGAGATAAACAACAGGGGATAGGTGGTCCCTCAGTAACAGGACGAACATAAGGGATAGAGATAAACAACAGGGGATAGGTGGTCCCTACGTAACAGGACCCTGTTCTATGAAAGGCTTTACAGGTGATAAACAGCACTTTGAGTTGCCCCCAGAAGCCTACCAGGGCAGCGCAAGAAGTAGAGCTACAGCTTCTGAGTGGCCTTCAAGGGCAGCCCCATATAGACTACATTACAGTAGTCCAGATGCACAGTGATCAAAGTGTGAGTTTCTTGAGGGTTGCTCGGTCCAGGTAACGATGGAACTAGAACATCAAGTGAACTTGGGCGAAGGCCTTCCTCAGCACAGCAGTCATGAAGCTATGAATCCAAGAGGACCCCCAGACCAAAAGCAGATGGTCATGGAGCACAGTCAGGAAAAAGGAAGGCTCTATAAAATATTATTAACATTTGTCATAAAAGTTGGATTGTTGCAAGTTCAAATAAGTTTAAATTTGCTCGCAAAGGTTTCATAGGTCCCGCCCATAGATAGGAAAGTCAGACCAAATTCCTGGGGAGGAGAGAGAAAACAAGGGCAAGGTTGAAGGTCTGATGATTCAGCAGAAAGTGTAGCCAGGCAGTGCCTCGTGCAGCGCTTTGAAACACGAGGCTTCTGTCACTTCAGTTTGTAGAATTCACTGTTATTATTCCTGAAAACTGTTTACTACAAGGAAATGGATTGGACTGGACCTATATTAATATTATTACTATTTATTCTTGGAATTATGTCCCTTTTGAAGAAGGGCAGTTCCTGGAATGACAGCTCCCCAAACCTTCCCCCGGGACCCAGGACCATACCCATTTTGGGAAATCTGCACCTGATGGATCTGAAGA